TTGGAGATTCCTTCTCCACGGGCTCTTACTACCGCTGCTACGCTGCTGCTGCTGCTGCTGCTGCTGCTGCTGCTGCTGCTGCTGCTGCTGCTGCTGCTACTGTACTTCACACATACAACCTCGGAGTCTTTGCGAGCATCGACTCGAAAAAAGGGGTTGAGCCAATCATGCAGAGTTCCATCCCTCTCTCACTCGGCCGACGGTCCAGATCGGCCCCAATTGGCCACTGACAGTCCGAGCGATGGTCGACTTTGACGTATTGATATGGGGCTGAACTGTGGTGACTCTGGAGAAGCACGAAGCGCGCCGCTGATGACAGACAGCCAGCCAGCCCGCCGACAAGCAAACGCCCACAGGAGCTAGAGCAAGTCATCACGGCGCTTGTCGACAACCGGTTTCGCTATGTGGGTAAAAGGGGGTATACTGCGTACGGCATGTCGCTCAGTAGTAGTATTGATTTTCTTTGCTTTTTCTTCTCTCTCTTGTTTCCGACGGGCTGCCGCGGATAACCCAGGGGGGTTTTGATTGGCGGCCGCGAAGTGTGCGACTTGCAGCGACGCCGACGAAAAAAAAAAAAAAAAACCTCCCTTAGACATTGCCATGTGGTTCTGCCGCAGCCGCCGGTCCTGCTGTGGCACTTCGTACAGGTGACGCTGTGCCACCCACTCAGCCGCACATGGGCTCGTCCCCGTTGACAACTTACACCGTACGCCACGGGGGACTCTTGCAACGATTATCGACATTGCGTTTACGATAGACGACAACGACGACCCGGTAACAAATTTGAGGAGCATCAGCACGGAGCTGGGCGGCGCCAGTAGGGGGGCTGGAAGACGAGGCCACTTACTGTCCAGACGGTGGCCATTGCCAACCAGGCGAACAACAAGCAGCAAGCAACAAGCCTCGACTGGGGAGGCTGGACGTTCGTGGAGCGACACACAAGCGAGTCAAGGCGATTGGAAATGAACCGTGATCGTCTGGTCCGGTTGGGCCCAGCGTCCAAGAGAGGACAAAATCCCCACAATGTGGAGAGAACGGGACCGCCTTGGATAATCTGTACGAATCTCAATCGAGAGACGGGAGCCCCCCCGCCTAGACGCCCTCCCCTCCCCCTCCTCAATGCAGAGGCAATGGAGAAGATGAGCGGTGGGCTCTTTTGCAGGCAAGGAGCCTTCTTTCCCCCTCCCGTGGTCCAGCAGTTAGTTGTCCATTCCACACAGTCGGGGGGGTATTGTGCGAGTTGGCATGCGTTGCGCTGGTCTGGTCTGGCGGTCAAGCATTCCCGATAAGGGTGAACCAATACCAAGCATCATCTTTGCTGCATCCGGCCTCGACGCGGTTTGGTCGAGAGACGAGCTCTCGGTGGTCCTATAACATGTTGTGTACACTGCACCACAGACGCAAGAGAGAGAGAGAGAGAGAGAGAGAGAGAGAGAGGCACGGCACGGCACGGCATTGGCATTTGCTGGGGTCAGACCTGGTGGACTACTTGCAGCACGTCCGGCCTGCCTGTCATCACCAAGAGGGGCACTCAGACCAGGCGTTCCGACGTCGCACAGGACGATTGGAACCCGCCTATCGCGGTGTGCAGGCGCATAAGGTATCCTGCAGCATGTATGGATACGTGCGCACACAAACGCATCCACGCATCGGGAGGGGGGAAGCGAAGCGGGATCAAACAACGAAACTTGGAAGTGAGTGCCAGCCCTGGCGCACGGGAGAACATTGACACGCCCCAGCGCCACCCGCCGCGTTGCGTTGTGGGTTGAGTCTCGTCACGAGGCCGGCCATAGACAACAGTGTCTATCACAGCCACGGTACCGCCGAGGTGACAGAAAGGATGGACGACGAACGACAAATGCGAATTACAAACGAGAGCAAACAGGAGAAATTGTCCGGGCAGATAATTTAAGACACCACACCTGGAACAGGCAGTGCAGCATTTCTCCTACGTACAAACAACCAAGGGCTCGGCGGCGTTTTCCATGTCACCATGTCGAGGCCGTTCCCACCCACCCCTGCCGGGACCCGTCCTGTGGAAGAAGTGGAGGACGAATCCCCGAATCCCGATATGTCTCGACGAGGGCGGGCGGGCCTGGGTGCGATACGAGCGGCAGCCAGCAAAAACAACAACAACAATAAGCAGGAGTCCAGATCGGTCGCTTTCCGATGTACCTACTTGGTTTTTTTTTTTTTGGGGCTGGCGGTGACGATGCAGCTGAAGAGGGGGGGGGGGATAGAAAAGCCGTAGTGTATCTGTAGTCGGCTTGCGGAAACAACCATCGCGATGCGATGGAAGTTGAAGACGACGATCTTTCTCTCAGCGGCCTAGCGGCTAGCAGTGCACACTAGTGTATACATGCGCAATAGAAAACGGCCGCCATTACGTTTGGAAAACTAGTGTGGCCGTCGTCATCCCATCGCCCGGGCCACATCCGCTGCAAATGTCAACAATGAGACCGAGAGCCAAGGCAATATCGCGGTCCTTCTCCGGAGTGCCAAAGAGACGAAACTGGAGACTGTGAGTTCGTGAGAGAGAAAAAAAAGTGACGAGGCGGGAGGTAGAGACGGAAAGAGAGAAAGAGGCGCGTGTGAAGTGGATTCTGGAGGGGTCTTTCTGTCTCAAAGCGTTAATCCTGACAGCTTCATCGCTCATCGCGTCCACCCACTGCAAAATTTTGTGGACATGGGCGTGTGCAGTGCAGCGTGACATGGACGTCGTTGCTTTTTTCTGTAGCTTTATTTTTTCTTCCCCCCTCTCTCTCTCTATCCTCTGGGTACCCTCTTCTGTCTTCGCCCTCACCCTACGAGGAACCGCCTTGGATCCGTATCTCAGTGTCCATCGCTCTCATTTGGACCCTTGGGACCCGCTGTCATCAGGTAAAGAAGTCGGGGCCCCGGGCCAAAGGGGACGACGACCACGACGACCTGGCCTCGCCCCCGTCCCGGACACTTCAGCAAGGCACAGAATACGGGTCGTACCTGGGAGGTGTAGGCGAGGCATCCCCATGTCGGTCCAGGATGATGTCTAGCGGCGGCTCAACAACGGCATGAAGAAGGAGGATATGACACTTTTGCGAAAGGGTAGCGGGACACGCGAGCAAAGCGGCCCCGTTGCGTCAGAGAAGGAGGTTCCCAGCGATCTTCATTCCACGTCGCGGAACTAGCGTGCATGAGCAGGATGAGGACCCGACCACCGCCCTACGTAGTTTATTCATTTCAGGGTACTTTTCCGAGAGCAGCGCCGGTCCCTGTTCTCAACTGGGTTTGGTGAACGGACGACGAGACAACGGGCACGGAACGTGAGCGAGAGGAGACGATGCAGGAGGAGATGGAGATGGGAGGAGGCGACTTTGAAGGCGTTGAGCCACTGTGGAAACGGCTCTTTCCTCTCCTGCCACTTAGACCGTGGGACCACCAGGCACGCTTGCTGTGTAATGGCCATGCTTTGAACAGCGCAGTGACAGTTGGGACGACGGAACGGGAGAGGAATGGAAGGGTGCGCTTGGGGGAATTAGGCCTGGTGTGGCCGGGGGTTCCTGAGCTTGGCAAGGGTTCGGCCCCTCGACGACCAACCACGAGGGTGGACAGAAGGCCGCTTGGCCAGCCGGCGAATGGGGACCAAGAGAATGCCAGAGTGGCTAAACCGCATCCAGGCCTGGAGGTGCTGCTGGCTGCTTGCTGGAGGGCTCGGGGAGGTGGAGATCATCGGGGCGGAATCCTGGACTGGGTGGGTGGCTGCTGGGACAGAATGGAGGTGGGAGTGGACGGACGGGGATTCCTTGCAGAGTGAAAGGGCGGTCGCCGTCGCCCCCAGCATCACCGTGGTCGCCGCCTCACTCTCTTGTCGCAGCAACCGCGCAGCCCTTCCTCTGCATGGGCTTCTTCCCCTCCATGTCCTCGCCGTTGCCCTCTTCCTAAGGGTGACTAGGAGCCGAAGCCCAGGTTCCTACTTCACCGTAGGCCACAAGATTAGCGGTGGCCTTGGGAGGGGTTGGGCTTCCACTCAGCATGACGGAGGGTTGATTCAAGGGAGAGAGCTGGAACTGTTGATCCAGCCAACCTTTAGTTTGATGCTCCGGACGGTGGACAGAGGACGTGCGTGAGTCGGGGCGGCAATGATGGTGGTGAAGGTTAAGGATAGACGGGGAGACGTATTGGAAGAACCGAGGGCGTGTCATGTCTTACGCTTCGCAAATCTAATCTATTCGAACAGGTACCTAGGTAGCTGGCAGTACTTTTACACTACTGAGAGCAAAGTGAAGTGAGTATCAGTAAGGTGCTTGGGAAAGCACACTCCCCCTTCCCTCCTTCTTAGATTGCCTATTCTCTCTATTGGGAATAGAGGTACCTTCCTGCCCTGCTCTCAGCCAATTGCCGAAGCATGAATCTAATAGGGGACCCGCTTACGCTGCGCAGCTTGTACCCCCCCTTCCACTGAATCGCCCACTTCCTATCTTCACCCCCCCAGAGACGAAAATCCCACGCCCCGAATCGTCCCATCCATTTAGACCCCAAGCATCCGCCCAAGTACTTCACCAATCCGCTCCCCTCCAGTGCACGCACGCATCTCTATCTTGCTGCGATTGCTTCCCTCACCACAGCAGCATCACGCTCAAATATCATATTCATCTGTCCAGTCCTGGGTAAGATCTAGCATCATCTTCACCACCTGCACCAGCACGAACCAACATATCCCGCCACGTCGATACCGATACCCTCGCTTCGACTACCACGGTCTGCAACCTGGATTGGCCCGAAGCATCACCCATCACACGACACCATCTTACCAAGCAAACCCTCCCTTTACCGTCTAATTACACCAACCCGTCGCAAGCACCCCATCCTCTTCTTCTCCCCGCCACTCTCACATCAAATCGCATCCTGCCACGCGCCTTTTAGTACTTTAAGCGCCATCTATTCTCGACGCGCCTTAGTATTTTCCTCGGCATCACTTAAACACGGCTATCAAGTGTCCTCACCGCGAGTCCAACAACACAATGGCAACTGACCTCATAATGCCTACCCTCATTGAGCAGCGCGGCCCCTTCTTCTCACAGGACCGCCCTCACTTCTCCCATGTTCGATCCCACTCCTTCCAGACAGTGCCCCAACCCCAGCCCTTTCGCAACCGCACCTCGCCTCTGAGCACGCCTCACGATGGGTCTCCCACCTCGCCCAAGTCGTGCCTGAACGAGTCGGTTCGCCCCGTCTACGTCCCCGCCGTCCTCCGCCCCAACAAGCACCACTCCAAGAAGCCCCGCGCCACCAAGGTCGAGGACTCGGACGGGGGAGATCTCTGCCTGCGCCGCACCAACAGCAGCTTCATCAGTCTGCCGGGCTTCAGCGTCCTCGGTCAGAAGCTGTCGCGCCGCTCCACCGGCGACAGCGGCAAGATCGTGGACCTCGAGCTGGATGCCGACCTCTTCCCCCAGGTCACCGGTGAACCTACCCGCAAGCACTGGAAGGTATGTTGGATGCGCCCGCTCCCCGTCGTCGTTCGCAACGAAAGCTAACAAGTCAATTGCAGCCCGACACCGAGTCAGTCATATGCGACGACCCGACCTGCAAGCGCAGGTTCACCCCTCTGAACCGCAGACACCACTGTCGCCGCTGTGGCAACATCTTTTGCCACACGCACTCCAACGAGGTCATCCCTCTCGACGAGGACTGCAACTACAACCCCCGGGGCACTCTCGCTCGCGCCTGCTTCCACTGCTTCACCGAATTTAAGGTATGGAAGAGCCGTAACGGCAGCCGCAGCGGTAGCGACCAGAGTTCCGACTCCTCCGACACCCCATCGAGCCCCATCGTCGCGAGCCCCATCGTTCCTATGATGCCGGGTATGCTGCCGCCTACCAAGGGTCCCGAGGTGGCTGCCAGCGTCCCCCGCGACTGGAACTGGAGTACCTTCTAGAAGCTGTAGGAAGTCCAGGAGCGGGAGAGACCTACAGAAGCGTTTCGGAACTCCCTCCAACAAAGGAAAAAAGAAAAAGAAAAAGAAAAAAACAAGAACCGCCCATGGGGCGCAATACCCAGCGGACCACGATTCACGGCCTTAATGAAGAGCGAACGAAGAATAGAATCATAGACACACAAACACTCGTTGTACGGCGGCGGAAGGCCCTCACCGGCCAACCGCCCCAACGATACTGGACGCGACACACAGAACGCCCGGATCATAGACGACAACACAACAATACCCTCGCTAATGGACTGCACGTTATGCAGCCCCATCACCTCGATCCGCACATAGAACGCCCTACCGGGCTCGATATCCGACCCGATCTGGCATGGACACCTGTTTTGTTTGCATTTGTAGCGTGGCGTTGGACTGGAACACTCGAGATCAGGATATGGCTTGTCCCCCCTCATCTCACTGAGCAAATGTGTACGGGAAAGATGTTTTTTTTTTTTTTAATCTTCAACACTCCCCACGATTTTGCGGAGGGCTTTGTTTTTCGGCGGCATCACCCCCTCTGAAGGTTTATACCCCAGATGTGACGACTGGATGGTTTGTTTCGCCCTCGGAACCACTCAGGGTCTCCCATGGGTCACCTTTACGATGGGAAGAGGGCGAGGTGCGGACCAGGCCGGCCGAACACCTTCATGGATTGGCGTTTGTGTAATTTAGAGTTGCTGTCACAGCATTGGTTGGCCGGCGTTGAAGTGGGCAGGATAAGAGAGGGGGACAAGGGAAACATCCCCGGACGGGTGCGCAATGCAACTTTGTTCGCGTACGCGGCCTGATCCAATCCTCTCACCCCCTCCTCCGCTTGACGCAGATACCAAAGCAAGAAAAGAAGCACCATTGATCAGAACCAAGAAGCAAACTCCAAGTCCCAAACCTTGGCTTATCAGTGACTGTCGTCAGAACCCGACTATTGCATTGGGACAGGCGGTTGAAGACGAAGCCTGCTGATGGCGCCGTGTTTTGGAGAGGGGGGCGGTGCTGTTCATGTCGCGACGGCCTCACGATGGTGTTTCAAGGGTCTCATCCTGCATTAGGACCGCGAGAGTCCGAAGGTGGACTTTCGCGACGGCCGTTGGACTGCTCCCGCCCTCTTCGTATCCGAGGAACGAGAAGTCGCCGGCAGGGATGGACCACACAGGTCGGTCGTACTTAGTCATGGTGTCACGTCGGGGGGTAGCCCACGGTGGGTTGTTCCCAATCTCACCCTTCCCCGATCTCCTGCGTGTCTCATTTGAAGATGCCCTCATGGCTTTTTGGTGGTTCCAGCCCGCCCGCGGGGTGAGTCACCCTTCCTCCAGGCGGGCGGGCCTTCATGTGAAGAACACGGGACGACGGCCACGTCCCCCGGCCCGTGGACGTTCCACCACAGGAACCAGCTTGCGCGCGCCTGGGTGCGTAGGTGAGGCTCTACAGCGGATTAGGAGGAGGGGTGGTAATCGTGGTGGTGGTGGTGGTTGTCATGGTCCGCTGGACCTGCTGCTTATGCCGAAGGTACCCTAGCGTCGCGCCGTCCGTGTGTGCGCGCGCGCGTCTTGTGTATCTTTAAAGTCGGTATGTGCGTGTGTCTTCCTGCCTTTTCCCCATCATTCCATTGGGGGGGCTTTTTCGACAAACCACCCCCCTGCCTCCCCCTCCTTCTATCAAACCCGCCGCGCTCTGCGTCGGGTGCTTCCCGCACTCCCGCCGCTGGGGGTGTGCTACGGTGTTACAGGCTTCTGGCGGCTCTGGGCAGAGGTGTGGACAGTCATCCGCTCGCATCGTTGCCCGTCCGCTGCGGTCAGCATGGCGGGACATTCTGTCCTACGCCGGGGTTCTCCAGAGTCGGGGGTGGGGGAGCTGGGTGAGTCTCTCTGGGTCGGTTGTTGGTCGCGGCCGAGAGTGGCCGCCGAGGGAAGGGCCAAACAGGAGGGGGGGGGGGGGGTGAGAGAGCCTAGGTGAGCCGACGGGACGGCGAAAGGTGAACGGGCAACCCTGGAGGTGGCTCTGCGGGCCAGCTTTAGCTCGCGGATAGTAAGCGATCGCGAGGGCCTTGTGTTGTGTCGTCATGCGTGTGTGCGTGTGAGAAGGGGGGGGCGTGCGAATCACCGCCGTCAGCTTCGTGGTTGATTCGTCACTGCTGCTTCTGCTCCGCTCTTTTCCCTCCTTTTTCCCTCCCTGGGTAGATTCAGTGAGACTCTGGTCAGCGTCGTAGGCGAGCGTGGTCCTCTGGGCTTTGCCGTGGCGGGAACATCTGGGTATCAAGTCCCTTCTTGATAGGTAGGATCTTGTTGGTTAGGGAGGGAAGACCGGGGCTTGGGCCGCACAAATTCCTCCCCGCGTGTCCCTCGCATCCATTCACGTGGGAAAGCTGGCTCGCAAATAGTCACCCTGGAGGGGTATATGGCGAGTCGGAAGGTAAGGAAGAGCGAAGTCTGGATGCCTGGGCCCGAGGGGGGGCGGGGGAGGGGCTCGTCGCGCACGACGACAGACGACGAGCGCGGTCGTCAATGGGGCGCGGCGAGATCCGGCACGTGCACCTTGCACACCCCGCGCATCCACAATCTTCAACAGGTGTCCGACACCGTCTAGGACGACATGTGCGGCGTGCGTGCATGCACGTCGATGCAGCGCGGGGCCACGTCCAAGCAACGGCAACGGGGGAGGGGATGGGGAGGGGAAGGGAGGGGACTCATCCACCGCCAAACCGCCAGGCCTAGTTTAGAGGAGTCAGTGTCTTCTTGCTATATCATGCGCACCGCGCCCGACGACGTCCCCGAGAGGGGCCAGCTGGCATCGACGCAGGCTTCCACCGTCCGTCGCGCGCCCACCCACGAAACCGCAACCCCCTTCGCGATGCGCCCAAGACACGCATGTCCTGCAGGCTCCGACTGTAGCCTTCGCCCCTTCTCCCCCGGATATCAAAGAGTCAGAGCTACCAAGGACGCCGCCGCCGATGGCGTAGACACATCGCGCCCCCTTCGTCCCTCGAGGCCGGAAAGCAGGACGCAAACGCACCAGGCCGCCTATCAAGGTGGTCCAGTAGCCGCGTGACGTGGCGCCTCGAGACTCTATAGGAATGACTCACTAACACGAGACGGCCTAAACAAGCAGAAGCTTGAACTAGTTAGAGAAACAAACGCGCTAGTCGCCAAGTGCGGCCAGAGATGTCTGTCTGTCGGAGTACGCTCCGGAATCGTCAATCCTTGCCCCTCCCCCTAACAACCGAAACATGGTTGATGGCGGGAAACGGCGGTCCGGAGCGGAGTCCGGAACCAGAATCGCGCGCCCGTACTCCATAATCCCCGCGCTGCTCCGTCACGACCGCCGGGAGGCGTATAACTCGGCATGGCCTGCTGCCTGATGTCGCACCGGAGAGTTGCAGACAGCCAGTGGGAACCTCCCCACCCGCGGATATCACATTTCAGTATCGCCACGGGCCATGGTGTGGCGAGTAACCCTGATTTGATGACTATACATATATTTATGCCAGCTCATGCTCGGCTTGTCTAATTACCCTCTGCGCGCAATGCAACAGCATAGACAGTTGCGAAAAAATAACTAGCGAGCGCTCCGGGTGATGCGAATGCTTACCCCAATGTTTTCCCAGTTCAGAACGCCGTTGAAACAAAGCCATGCCGCCGCCTCTCCGAGAATGCCCCCTCTCGGGCCTTCTCTTCCGTTTGTATCCCATTTTCCATAACCTCCGACCCCTCGCCCAGGTATCGATCCCCGAAGCGTCTAATGCTTGGCCTTGCCGTTGGCAACGCGCTTGGGGCTGCCCTCGACGTTGTACGAGGCGGAGCCGTTGTAGATCTCGCGGTTGACTTCGCGAGCGGCATCCCAACCGGCCTTCTCGGCTAAGGTGACGTTGCTCTCACGGCGGGCCTTGCCCTTGCCCTTGGAGGACTCGGCGCTGCTGCGGCGGATGTAGCTACGGATGAAGAACATGACGAACAGGTAGGTGAGGGGCGCAAGATAAAGGACGTTAAGCCAGATGGCAAAGGTCTCGCCGCTGGTGGTGACGCAGGGCTGCGTGACGTAGACGGTCTCAGAGACGAAACCGTCCTGGGGCACCGCGGCGGCAACAGAGTTGGAGGCGGCGGCAACCTCCTCAGCGACCTTGGAGGAAGCTCCAAAGACCATGTTCTTGAGGTTCTCAAAAGCACCAGCCGCAGCTGTGGCAGCGGTCTCGGCGGCAGCGTTGGCGGCAGTTTGAGTGACTGCCTCGCCGCCCTTATTGGGGGTGTAGACGGTCACGGGGACCGTGTAGGAGACGAAGGAGTGCGCCATGGCGTAGGTGGCTCCGACGAGGAACTGGGTGATCTGGAGGGTGGTGAGAGTTCGCTTGATGGCCATGGGGACGCGGATGTTGAAGGCGGTGATGGTGTAGTAGGTGTACTGGGCAATTGTTAGCATCTTGTCTCCCGAGGTCAGGGTGAGCGCGACGGCTTACCATCATGGCGTGGATGAAGGAGTTGACCAGGACGAACATCCAGATGGGGGCAGACATGTAGTGCATACCAGCCCACATGCACATCATGGCGCCGGCGTGGTGGTAGGTTTGGAGGGTGGAGCTGAGCTTGCCCTTGGCGAGGATGATGAAGGTGTCGAGGACCTCGTAGAACTTGCTCAGGTAGAAGATCCAGCCGTAAAAGGCGAGACCCTCGTTCCAGATTCTACCGGTGGCGGTGCGGCTCGGGCGTCCGTCGAAGCCGAGGGCGGAGTTGCCAGCCAAGCTGGACCAGGAGCCGAGGGTCTCGTTGTAAATGGTGGCGGCGCCGAAGCCGCCGTTACCGTTGAGCTGACAGAAGCTGTCGGCGGTGGCGGCCAGGCCGTTGGGGCCGAAGGGGCTCACAACGCTCCTCCGCATGCCGCCCAGCATGCCCCAGAAGGTCCAGGCCGAGTAGACGGCAAGGAAGACATTGTGCAGGACGACAAAGGCGAAGAAGGGCTTCGTCTTGCTG